ATAAGTCAGAGGTGTCAAACTCATGTCATGGTGGCATCACAAGACATAACAGGACTTTTTCCCTTCACTAAACCGGGCATAGGCCTGGCCAGTGCATGACACATCTAGCCTGTGGGCCAGGAGTTTGACAGTGCTAGGAACTAGTCTAAGTGCTATTCCTAAGTGCTATAAAATATGACAATGGCTTACTATTGGAATATTAAAAAAAGAAACTGAAGGCTTACATTTTGACTGCTCAATAGCAAGTTATTCAAACTAATGCAATCAGGCTCAGAACTGAATCAAATGATTCAAAGTGCAGGTTGTGCAAAGAAGCAGAAAAAAAAGTAAATTATATACTCAGCTTCTGCAAGAAGATCACACAAACTGATTATAAACAATGACATAACACAGTCACCAAATGATTCACTGGAACAAATGTAAATATTACCAGTAAAGAGAAATTAGTGGGAACAGAAAGTTGTAAAGGTAGTCAAAAATAAGCAGGTAAAAATATTGTGGGATTTCTGGATACAGACTGATAACATCTTGACTCACAACACACTAGATTTAATGTGGTTCAAAAGAAAAATACGTAGATAATGGATGTGGCAATACCAAGAGATAGTAGAAGACAAAGAATTGGAAAAGATCACAAAGTATCAGAAACTGAAATTGAAAGGTTGTGGCATGAACTGGCCATGGCACACTGAGTGGCATACCAAAAATCTTGGCTGGCACTTATAAAATCTGAGCGCTGAAAAAAATCTCCACCTGTTCAATTGCAAAAGGCCACACTGCTTGGATCCTCATATATACTACATTAATACATTGCATCATAAGTTCTTGGGAAGAAATATTGCACATGAAGGCCAAAACAAACTAAAGAACTGGCAGCTGTGATTTCACCTTCTTATGAAGAGATTATGACAATAAAATAATGTCTGATTTGACTGATAACAGTTCTTCCGCATCCTAAAACAGAGACTTCTTGTATCCACCCACCCAGGAAGCAAGAGATGCTCAGGACTGAACTCGGAATAACAATGCCTGTATTCTCTAAATGACAACATTCAGTCCTTTACCAGGAAGTTTTTGTGAATGTTGTATACAAGAAAGAACAGCCTGACTATGAATTAAGGAGACAGGATTTCCTTAACGACACTGTCTTTTATTTCAAAAGGGAAAACTGGTAGCAACTTTTGTGACTAACAAATTGCATTAACAAGCAGTTTGGTGAGGCAAAGCTCACTTTATGCAAAGTCAATAGAGAAACAGTTCACAGGAGAAGCTAATCAGAAAAGATACCACTAGAACCTGATTTTTTGGTCTCTGATCTTTGATTAATAAACTTGATTTGATTTGATCTGATTACTGTAGACTAGCGTGGTTCCTTTCCTATTAAGAAGTCAGTCTGCTGCTCTTATCTCATGCTTTGAACCCAAGTTGCTGAAGGTAACAACTCTCTTGTGCATCTGATGTAGACATTGTCAGCATCTGTCTACTGGAAACCCATTTCCACAAAATAGAAAGAGGGAAAAGGGATAGAAGGCAGATTGTATCCAATCCTTGCCTACAGATAATGTGTTACAGATATGGCTAGGCTTTCCTTTCCCTGGAAAGAAGTGGGTTTCTCCAGTTTAGAGTAGTGAGAGGATGGCAGTGTTCCCACATGCCTTAGTTGAACGTGGAGAGAAACAATAAAACACCGAACATCCTGAATAAAAACTCTAGCATGTCCTTACATGCTAGAGGTGATTCTAGTTCTCAGGAGGTTGCATAAGAGGAAAGAACAGAATATTTTCACAGGAGGAAAGGGAATCCATGCAACAGCCATCTTCCTGGGCTTCAAACCATAAATAAGTTTGGCTTGGGAAAGGGGAGAATGCCACCGCCTGTTGTCCCGAGTTTCCATTTTGTGGCTCATTCATTGAGTTACTATCTCCTGTCAAGCTATGCTTAGCCCAAATCATCACACTATAGCTTGTTTTGATTAAGAGTTTGTGGAAGAAGCCCATGGATCATGCTAAATGTATCTGGTTTGAGCTTAGAGTGTTGTAGGAATCCAACCATTACAGCTGGTAAACAATTGTTATGGCTAACCATAGGGATACGCAGGCCATGGGCCATATGTCAGTGGTGGTATTCTACCAGTTCAGCCCGGTTCTGGTGAGCCGGTAGCAGCGATGAGCAGTGGAGACAGAACCGGTTCTCTCCGCTGCTTTGCTGTTGGGCCCACCCGCCCGTCTGGGCTCCCATGCTCACCTTTATCCGCTGAATTTGAAGCGCAGCTGCTTTGCACGGCACAGAATAGTGCTGCACGGCAGCTGCTGAAGCAACCGGGATCGTGCATCCACAGAACCGGTGGCAAAAATATTTGAATCCCACCACTGCCATATGTGGCCCCTCCATCCCTCCACTGGGTACCCTCAGAACATATCACTGAATTTGTACAATAAACGAGTGAACTTTCACAGCAAAGTTGTCTTCATTTATTGCTTAACATGGGGAAACTGGGGACCTCTCACTTACAATTCCACATACCAAACTGGGATAAACTTCTGCCATGAAGCATCTTTGATCATGTACATGTCCACCAGGATACAAACATCTATCATGCCTTCTCCCTGGTTTCAGAGGGAAAGGAAGGCTTGTGAAGACACACAGTCATTTCCTGCAACTTCCCTGTTAAACTACTTGCCTCACAAATCAGGGCTGTAAATCATTAAAATGAAATGGCTTCATTTACAGCTCATGAACTGCTGCTGTTGTTGTTGTTTTTTACAATATTCTGGGCAAGCTTTCTATTTCAAAATCAGTTTGGTAAGGTGGTTAAGTGATTAAGGTGCTGGCCTAGAAACCAGGAGACAGGGAGTTCTAGTCTTGTCTTAGGCACAAAAGCTGGTTGGGTGACTTTGGGGCAGTCACTTTACCTCAACCCAATCCACCTTACAGGTGTGTTGTTGACCAGAAAATAGAAGGAAAGCATATTTAAGTTTGTTGCCTGAGTTACTTGTAATAAAGGTGGGGATAAAAATCTAATAAATGCAAGTAGTTCTCCACTTACAACAGTTCATTTAATGACCATTGGAAGTTTCAATAGTACTGACTTATGATCATTTTCCAAACTTACAACCATTGCAACATACCCATGGTCATGTGATCAAAATTCAGATGCTTGGCTAATGATTCATATTTATGACGGTTGCAGTATTCCAGGATCATGTGATTACCTTTTATGACCTTCTGACAAGCAAAGTCAATGGGGAAGCCAGACTGACTTAACAACCGTGTTGCTAACTTAACAACTTAACAAGCGATTCACTTAACAAATGTGGCAATAAAGTTTGTAAAATGGGGCAAAACTCACTCAACAAATGTCTTCCTTAGCAACAAAAATTTTGGGCTCAACTCAGGTTGTAAGCCAAGGAATATCTGTAAAATAATTGTTAGCAGGAACTTGGGAACAAGGAGGGTATGAGGTGTCTGGTTGTCATTTTTTTTAAAAAAATCTGGTACTCTGCTGTAATGCATTCATGTTCCTCAGCTTGTGACCAGAGCATACAAACAAACATTTGATAAAGGATTTATCATGTAGAGATATTTGGAAAGGGGAATTGTAATATTATTAACTAGTGTTGATTAAAATATTAGTGAACTCTGGAGTTTTTATTTTTTTTTCTGTATAAACATGATGCAATCTATTCTCCACATAAGACCTAAAACTAGATAACGGGAAACCAATGAAACAAATGAGTAAAACACACACACACATTATACTCCTCTCAGGATTTCCTCCTGCAGGGAGTGAAAAAGCAGGACCCCCACCTACTGAAAAGATCCACTTTTGAGGGGGCACTAAATCAGAACAGAGTTGGAAGGGACCTTGGAGGTCTTCTAGTCCAGCCCCCACCCCGTCAAGCAGGAGACCCTATACCATTTCAGACAAGTGGCTGTCCAATCTTTTCTTAAAAACCTCAACAACTTCTGAAGGCAAGCTGTCCCGCTGGCCTCACTGTTCGGAAGTTTCTCCTTAGTTCCGGGTTGCTTCCCTCCTTGGTTAGTTTCCATCCATTGTTTCTTGTCCTGCCTACAAGAGAAACAAGAGATCAGCTCTTAGCGCCTCTTCTCTTCCACTTGTTTTACATTTATTTTGTAGACCGGCATTCAAAAGGAAACGAGGGGGCAAAGCCAGGGAAGGAGATGGCAGAAAACTTGGACAAAGTTTAGGGAAGCCTCGGGGTCCAGCAAGCCAGCTTTCCTGCGTCCCCTTCCCCCTCGGTGGTTGCCAGGTTCTCTCCCCTCACGTGCACCCACCCCGCTTTAAAAAACAAAAAAACAAAAACCAGACAAAACTTTGAAAGCGCAGCCAGTGGCGAAAGGAAACAGGTGTTAACCCTTCCGCGGCTACGCCCGAGTTAGGAGCTGCTTGGTGAAATCGGAGCGGCCAGATTACCTCGTCTCCAGACCGGGCAAGGAGAAAACTAAACCCGAGTGAAAATCGCCTCGGCCGCGCGCGAGAAATGGGAATATAGGGAGGGGGAGGAGGAGGGGAAGGGAAGGGGGAGAACTCAGACGACGCTGGGAAGGAAAACGCTTCCAATGAGCCCGGGAGGCAGCCCCGCTTTTGTTAGGCAAGGGGGGCGACGGGTGGGCCTGGCTCGAGGTGAAGGGTGAGAGCCATGCATCCTCCCTCTCCAACGAGAACGGCGTCCCGGGCGAGCGAGGTAAGAGCGGAGCGAGGGATCGCGCCGGCTTTTTGCAGGAATCCGGGCAGGATTTTTTTAAAAATTATTTTTTTTAACAAGCGGGAGTGAAGCGCTTCGTTGCGTTCCGCCTTCCGGGGACGCTTTGCAAGTCGCCAAGTGGGAAAGGCGACCCGCAGCAAGGAGTCCGGGTGGCGAGAGTTTTGAACACCTCCTTGTGCTGCTGGATGCAAAAACTCCGAATCCCTGGGAAAGAGTACCTCGCAGGATCCAACCGTGGAGATTGAAGTCGTGGTTTTACCCGGTACGTGTCCCTTGAGCTGGAATTCCGGCTTTGTTTGGTTAGACTTGACTTCCATAGGGGCGCAGCCTTCACTGCCCGCGTTGACACTTGCCCATTTCCCCCCCCCCCCCCCCCCCCCCCCCCATTTTTTTTTTTCCCCTGGGAACTTCCACCGGATATTTTATCAGGAATCGGGACGAAGCGGCGGAAAAGTTTATATTCGTACTAAACCTGTCCCAGCAAACTTCCTTGGAGGAGTCTGCGCGCGCGCGCACTGCGAACCGGGCGAAATTCCCTCACAACTGTTTTTTTTTTTGCTCCTAACCACTGAACCGCGGGGAAACGGAGGAGCCTTGCGCTTGAACTACCAGCTAACTTTATGGGGGGCGTCTGATTTGGGAAAGTTTTTTTTTTTTTTTTTGCCTCGTATGCCGGGCTCTTATCTAGTGTTGTTGCAGAGGGCAGCAGAGAATGAACGCGCTTAGTAAAACATGCAGCCCTGGAAGTTTAACTTGGTGGAATCTCCTGGGAATGTTGCTGCCTGGATTCGTGCGCGTAGCCGTGGAATAATACAGCTAAAAAGGTGAAAAAACAATGTTGAAGCTAACAGGAATGGAAGGTTTGTGTGTGTGTGGGGGGGGGGGGCAGCAAAATAACTCCAACATGCATTTTTGCCCCTATTGTCTGATGGTGGTGCAGATACTACCAGCCTAGAATACGAGCCATTGGGTAAAATCTGTGGGATAGACATGTTCTGGTCTTCGACCAGAATGAATGTGCCTTGCAGAGATGTTTCCTTTTGGTGAAAGTTGCATGTGAATATTTGATGTTACTAGAAAACCCTCTTGATTTGCATGCTGTGCACACTACCTGCGGATGGAGGAGAAGAGGCAAACTCAGAAGCCTTCAAATTGCCTCTTCTTCCAGAGGAACTGAAAACAGGCAGTTTTGGAAGAGGTGTTGAAGGAACGTGACTTAAAAGCAGGGTGTTTTGGAGGATCCATAGATCAAGACTTAATTTCTGCGTTAGAGATTACAGCTTTGCCAGGTTTGGGCTGGAAATCAGTCGTTTTTCTCCCCCCCTCCCCTTTTGATTCTGGCTGTTGCTATTCACCTCTGTACCACAAAAGTTTCAGTTTTTTACACTGGAGGACTAATCTGTTTTAACAGAACTGGGTTGCAGAAAGCTGGGTTTCAGTCAGCTTGATGACCTGATCATTCTTAAGAGGTCTTTCAGCCTATAGTTAATTAAATTCCCCTCAAAAGTCTTGTGCAGAGGTTTAAGGAGGGACATTGAGGTATGTCTGCCTTCAGCTGAAGTTCAAAACAAAGTGCTTTGGGGGCATAGTTACTATCCACACAGGACCTTCTCTGCTGCCTTAAAATATATATCTTAAAAAAGTAAACCAGCACATAGTTTAACAAAACGGTTGATGCTTTGGAAGAAACGGTGGTGGGTTGACATGATTCCGATCTGCTCCTTTTCCTATTAGCCACATTTTTGAATGTTTTCTGGGCTTATATGGGTACCCATGTCTCTTGCTTCCCAGAGAGGAGGTTGGGAAGGGAATGGTTGGGCAGAGAGGAAACTTCTGCGGCTGGTTCACAGCCCTATTCAGAACAGATGTTCTACATCTGGGGGCAAAAAGTGAACAAATTTAAATGGTGAAATGTTTGTGACCTGCCAAACACAGAAATGACATGTATCTGCCCTGTTCTGTGGAATAGCTGGGTTACCTTACACAGAACATGATACATGCGTGCCATTTCTGTGCTAGGTAACCCAGCTATTTAAGCAGGTAGGTACGGTTTACATATGGCATAAAGACTGGCATGGTGTGTGTTAAAGTCAAAGATTTATATGTGAATTGAACGTCCATCAGGAAGTCCAGCATGTTTCTTTGAAGAGTCTGTTTTTTTTTTCAATTTATCCTGGCTCATAGTGAGGAAAGAATAAGCTGTAAGATCTTCCAACAAATGGTAACTTTCATTCTCTTCTAACCTAAAACATCTGCACCCAGTGAAAGTTTTAACTTTGCTTTCTGTGTTGGACTGATCTGTTATTTTAAATACTTATTGTAAACAACATGAATGTTTACACATATATTTCCATGCACTTTCTTTCATCTAGTAATGCCATGTGCAAACTAATTAAGTGGTTGAAAATGAGCTTCCAAACTACATACTAGGCTATAGCCCAAAATCAGCCTTTTTTCTCTCTCTCTGCTCCCAATTATAAAAGTTCAAGTGCTTTTCTTTTTGTCCTCAAGGTTTTTGCTGAGTTTATTCCAAAGCTTTGAAATTTGTGATGGGGGGAAATGGGTGAAAAATAGTCTCTCCATTTTAATGGTCATCTTTATTTTTAACTGATACAGTTAGTCCATTGTTCAAAGATGACCTTTTTCTAAGCCTCTCCTATAAAAGTGAGTCTTTTTGAAGCTTAACTTGCTTCTTTTGTTTACGTGGAACCAACTAAAACAATGTTCTTTCCATTATTTCAGTCACCTGAGGAAAGATGTTTCTTAAAATTGTTTAGGCTGCCTCAGGGACAGGTATCCTAAGGTCTTGAAATTGATGTGCGTTGCACCTGAAGAATGAGAAAGAATTTCCTACTTGGCTATGAACAGTGATGTTGGGGTTAGTTTCCCTGGTGTATGCATGGAGAGGAGGAATAAGTTGCATTGTGACTTGTAAACTGAAGTTGACGTGGAATTAGGTGGGAACTTCTTGCCTCAGAAATTCTGAGTGATTCCTATTTCCTTTCATTGTTTTTAAGCTCTGCCTTTCAAAGCTGGGATTTAATTTCATGCGTTTGAATTGCAGTTGGCACTCGGGTTTTTCTGTTCAGCGAGATCAGTGGGCATGAAAAAGATTTCATTTGTCTGGTCCTGGGTGACTTTTTTTTTAAAAAAATGTTATGGTTGCAGACTGCATAATTTGGCTGAGAAGGGAATGTCTGTCTTGAGATGAGTTTGAGTTTGATGACTACAGGAGCATATCCATATGCTTTGCTTGGCAGAAGTACAGAAACGGTTTGCTGTTTCCTACTTGTGGTTTTGGATTGTTTGTTTTCTTTGACTTCCCAGTTAAGTCTGCACTCCAAGGGTTTCCTGATGGTATCCTATCTAATTATTATCCAGGTCCAGCTAGCTTTGCTTTCTCAAAATCAGCCAAGCATAGCTAGGTGCTGCCACCTGCTGTGATATAATTTAGTCACCATTGTAAAAATCAGAACAATTTGCGGTGTACAGTAGAAATAAATATTGGATCCTCATGATTACAAGCATTAATGTGTGACTATATCCAGTGTCTGGGCTGTGACTGCTGCTGTTTGTACATTCTAACACTTAACCTGTGCTATACCATAGGACAGCTTTTCTTAGCCAGTGTAGTAAACTTAGGTGATAAATTTATAAAAGCTATTATTATATTTGCAGTCCATGTGAGTAGTTAGTGTAACCAGTCAGTTACACAGCAGGAGGATCAGTGCATAGCATTGAATCAAACCGGCTGTTTCTTCATAGTCTGTCCTTCTGCACAACTAAGACTGCAACACCCTTGTAACAGTTGATGTTGGGATTTCAGCTTGTTGGATTTTGAGTTATGGTGGGTTAAATCAAAGGCTCTTTAACTAATAGTCTTTTGCTTTGTCTCCCTTAATTTTTAAGGGTCCTGGTTTCTGAGGTTATCTAAGAGGAGATACTGGCCGTAGGAACTGCAGACATTGGACATAGTAGGAAGGGCAGCAAGTGACTGTCATTCTACACCACCTCTCACCAGTTGCTTGGAAACCTGCAGTCCAGGCTGGAACCATGGACTCTGCCAGGGCCCCCCACATGAAGGTCCGGAGAGACGTCGGTGACTACCTCAACTATGAAATCATCAGCAAGCATTACAACTACACAGGGAAGCTCAATGAGAATGCCGAAAGTGGGATCAAAGCAACATCGGTGGTTTTCATCATTATCTGCTGTTTCATCATCCTCGAGAACATCTTCGTTCTGCTGACTATTTGGAAAACCAAGAAATTCCACAGGCCAATGTACTACTTTATTGGTAACTTGGCACTCTCAGATCTGCTGGCAGGAGTGGCATACATCGCTAACATCCTACTGTCCGGCTCCACGACTTACAGCCTCACCCCTGCCCAGTGGTTTCTTAGAGAAGGAAGCATGTTTGTGGCTTTGTCTGCTTCGGTCTTCAGCCTGCTAGCTATTGCCATTGAGCGATATATCACCATGTTGAAAATGAAGCTCCATAATGGCAGTAATAGTTTCCGTTCCTTCCTGCTCATCAGCGCCTGTTGGGTCATCTCTGTGATATTAGGGGGTCTCCCTATTATGGGATGGAACTGCATTGGCTTCCTGGAGAACTGCTCCACAGTGTTGCCTCTTTATCATAAGCATTATATCCTTTTTTGCACCAGTATATTTACTGGCCTTTTACTGGCCGTTGTGATCCTTTACTGTAGGATCTACATCTTGGTAAGGACAAGGAGCCGTAGGCTGACTTTTCGGAAGAACGTGGCCAAAGCAACCCGGAGCTCAGAGAAGTCACTGGCTCTGCTGAAGACGGTGATTATTGTTTTAAGTGTCTTCATTGTCTGCTGGACTCCCTTGTTCATTCTTTTGTTGCTGGACGTGAGATGCAAAGTCAAGTCTTGCCCCATCCTCTTCAAGGCTGAATATTTCTTAGTACTAGCAGTTCTGAACTCAGCCACCAATCCAATCATCTACACGCTTACCAACAAGGAGATGCGGAGGGCCTTTTTCAAGATTGTACGGTGCTGTACGTGTCCCACCACAGACTCTGGGGCCAAAGTCAAGAGACCCATCATTGGAGGGATAGAATTCAGCCGAAGCAAATCTGACAATTCCTCCCATCCTCAGAAAGATGAGGGGGATCCTCCAGAAACAATTGTGTCCTCCGGTAATGTCACCTCGTCGTCTTAGGAACTTTGGCAAAATGGAGGCCTGAGCCCCTTGAAGGCTGACATGTGGGGGATAGCTCTGCTTGCTTCTCTCCAGACAGAAGGAGGAGTGAGAACGAGTTGGTCTGAAGGGGAAATGGAGTATTGGTTGGGGGTCCAGCTGTTGGCCTAAGACACATGGTGTCCTTTGAAAATATTTCCTCTCTGGGAGAATGTTGTATGTTGGTTTTCCCTGAGGCAACTTAGGGTTGTTAGGAATATTCAAGCTCTATACACCTTTGAAAAGTAGACACTTGGATAAGCAGTGTCCTTTGAATGGGAGTATGAGTGGGGAAGGAGAGAAATATCTTCAAATTGTTCCCCCCCCTCCCCAAGGTAAAACTCCTGAACCCTCGAAACAAAGTTCTTGCTATATTGGATTGACAGTCTTCTTTAATTAACTCCCTCGTCCAGGGAAGGAAATGTGCTAGTATATTCTGAGTAATAGAAAGAGAACCGGGGCTGGGATTTTATCTCAAGAGTTGTTCAGGTGCGTGTTTCCCTTTGGCACTTAAATCATCAGTGGAAAGCCAATGGGAATTAGGTGCTGGAGACTGCTGTGGGTTACTCTGAGGAAGATAGCCCCATACTCCTGGTTGTAGTTGAATCCTCAAGGAATTAGTGAGACTGTGATACGTGTGAATTAGACTGGGGCTGTTTGAACTTAATAGATGTGTCATTTGAACTTTTTTAAAAAAGCTGATAAATATGCTGCTTTCAGTAACGAGTTGCATTTTAATAACTTTTAACAGCAGCTTTATATACACAGTTTTAACCGTCAGCCATGTCCCATTTCTGCTCCTGGTAATCATAAGAATGTTAAGAACGGCCCTGCTGGAGACCTTAATTTTCTTCCAGTCAACTTTGTTGTAGGACCTCCCTTATCTTAGTGTAGGATACATATTTTTCCTTCTTCTTCCTCCTGCCCCCCATTGATCAAACAGGTGAACATGGGGTGCTTGCAAGCAGGAGATGGAGCCATACCTGTCTACTACTGTTGGTCTGCAACTAATATTTGGAGATAGGTTGTTCTATAGCTCTTCAAAATTAACAGACCAATTCTCTATGAATTTATCCTTTTCTTTTTTAAAGCCATTTGAATTAATGGCCATTGCCCTCTCTAGTGAATTCAACCAGGTTAATTATGTGCTGTGTGATGAAATATTTTGTTTTTCCTCTCCTTCCAATCAAGTTCTTAGGATGATTTTTCTGAATCCTAATGTTCTTTGAGAAGGATACATATTTTCCTGTTTATTTTCTTCACAGCATACAAAATTTCCTATTTTCTTTTGCTATGTAAATTGTTTATTTGTGATGGCACAGTGGTTAGAACACAGTATTGCAGGTTAACTCTGCCCTCTGCCAGGAGTTCGATCCTGACCAACTCAAGGTTGACTCAGCCTTTCATTCTTCTGAGGTCAGTAAAATGAGGACCCAGAGTGTTGGGGGGCAATATGCTGACATTGTAAACTGCTTAGAGAGTGCTGTAAAGCACCAGGAAGTGGTATATAAATCTAAGGGCTATTGCTAATCATTTCTCATAATCATCTTCTAAGGAAGATATTGAAACTCAGTCTCTTTTGTTGCCCTCCCCTACAATTTTTCCAGTTGCATTATGCCTTTTTCGAAATGTAGCCAGAAGTGTACACTGCATTATAAATACGAATGGACCCTTTGTGTAAGGGCTTTACAATTCGATAGTTTTATTTTAATCCCTAGCATGGACTATTTCTTTCTCATAGTGTCACACGTTTAGTTAACAACTTTATTAGTTGTCTGCTGTGACCATACATTTCTTCTGGTTAGAGGTTTACCTCAATGTGCAACATTTTATGTATTTATTTCTGAGATATAGTTTAGGCTGAAAGATGAATCACAGATATTAAGACTTCTAAGAAATGAACAAAGAAATAAGATTGGGCCATTCTGCAACTTCAGCAAATGTCCACACTTAAAATCCTTGTGTAACCATTATGTGTCCTTTCATTTTAAATGGTGTCCACTGACTGCAAATCCATGTCCATCCATGGAAAGTATTATTTGTATTAAATGAATGTATTTTATTACAGCATTAATTGCTATTTTGTGTTTGTGTATGTATGTGTATGTTTTAATTTGAGTCAATATAAAATGTAGAGATGCCAATAAGCATAGATGCTATTTGATATCTGGACTGGTTGTCTTCAATTTTATGAGAAATTCAAGCTTCATCCTAACCTGAAGGGAAGTTCCCCATATTAATTACTTGGGACATACACCTGTCTTTTCCATTTAAGATCAATCAGTTGCAAAGGAAGATACTGTGGATTTCTGTATATATAATAGTTGTGTGAAAGAAAGGATTTCTGAAGATGCTGCTTATGGTGAAATCAGTGTGTCTTTGTGTAGGTGTGAGGGATCCACCTCCTAAAATCATCAGAGTTCAGTGGAAGAGGCCATGTTTTACATCTGGGAGGATCCAAAGTTTAAATTAAAAAAAAATGAAAATGGCAGCAGTGTCTCCACTGCTGTGGTTGTTAATCCGTCGATATTGCATTATTGAGCTTTATTGTCATAAGCAAAGTAGCTGCAACCCACAGATCAATGTACAAGTATTGGCTGAATTCATAGGTGGGCGTTAGAAAAAAGGTTATTGGCCCTTTTAGCATTATTTTCAGTGCAATTTTTTTTAAAAAAATATGTAAAATGTTTCTGACTTGGTTGTACAGTATAGCTTAAGTATTAATAAACTGGGATTTTGTATAAACTGTACATTGAGCTACTCTTCCTTTGAGGTCATACGTGGCTTTGTATATGTTATATAGATTTCATGGAATAGCATCAAGTAGCTCTTTTTAAATACAGTGCTCAACAACTGAAAAAAAATATTGTTACAGAAATCTGAAGCGTGTGTGGGGGTGAGGGCCCTGAAAATATCTCTACAACTTTTTCACAGCTATGTAAAAAAACAAAATGTATCTGTTTTTCTTACATACATGCACACCATGTATGTAATACTGTCCTATTCAAATTACCTATTCTAACCCTAACCCTATTCAATTGAAGGAATGAAAGAAATAGGAAGCTAATATTTCCTACAAGGCTTTATGTTCACTCTGGTTAGAATAATTTTGGGTTTTTTTAAAGGAAAGAATACATGGTATTCTCCCCCCACTTCATATAAAAAGTATGTTTCAATATTATTATATCCACTTAACTGGAGGAAGTCTCTATTGAACATGTTAGATCTTATTTCTGATTACAAGCATATAGGATATGTATGTATGTATGTATGTATGCTAAAATCCCGAGTTTTAACACATTGAGTGAGTATTGCCTCTTGTGAGCTTTGCTAGACATTTATTCCATTACAAAACATTTCTGTGAACTTCTCATTTTATGGTGTATCAAAACAATTGAAATCCAAAGCAGATTTTCGGCGGAGGCACAGCCAGTGAGAACTTACACTTTCAAAATGTTGCAGTAAACTTGGAAGTTGTGCAGTGGCATTGAACCATAGCTCCCCTCATTTCCAACCAATGACTGCTGGAGAACACCAAGTTGGGGACGGCTGGTTCAGAGGGAACATGAGATTTAGATGGTTCTTCTGTGACTCATGCTGGTTCTTCATTCCCATATAACCCCCCCCCCCCACACCCCGATAATCCCTCAGACTGTATTGAAACTTACAGGATGCAGTTGGGTTACAAAGATAACCCTCACCTTCTTAGGTTGTGTGTCATCTCTCTGTAACATTTTCTGGTGGAAAATTCAGCTGCCTGACAAATGAAAGAAATGTTTTAGGTTGCAGCCTTTTGCTTCCTGAAGGAAATTCCAAAAATGCCCTGAAGACAAAAAACGGAAGAAGGCTGGGATTTCTCTCCATCTGTCTCCTGGTATGGAAGAAATGACTTCATTTGCAATCATTTCCTTTTCTTGGAGAGTGTTTTTGGCAAAGCTTGGAAGTGAGAGGTGACTGGTCAGAATACGCAAAATACTAAAATTAATTTCTCCCGCTTAATACCCTTTACATGTATCGGGATTGCTGTACCATTCAGAGAAATGCTGTTCAATGTTATGTTTGGAGATTCTGGGATTTATATTAGCACATTAGGTTCCAGATTGTAGGAAGTCTGATTTTGGCTTTTATGGACTGTTTCACTGGTTATGTTATCACAGATGACCTTAATATATTTTCATGAAATATAGAAGATTGAAAATTCAGGTTGCCCCTTTGTAATCTGGATGCTAACCATTGGTCTTGACACTTTATTTCTCTATAATGTTTTTGAAGTGCTGTTGGACTTTACAGAGTTTTTCAGGGTGAAAGCCACACTTGAAGAAAAAGAGAATTATTGAAATTTAGAATTGTTTAAAAACCATTCTTTCATGACCTCAACACCATCATTTCAATGGCTTATCCAACATTAAACAAAACAGATACCATTTTAAACTTCTAAGAAAGAGAGAGTTATAAATCTAGGCTTCAAGAAAATAAAACTGAGTTCCAATACACTTATGATTATATTTATAATTTCTAATAAATATGGAAGGGAAAAATGAGAATGAATGCAAATGTTCACAGAAATGGGCAGCTTTGTACTACTGGGCCATATTTGCACAGCATACATAATTCCATTAATGAACAAATTCATTTTTTTAGGTAAACAATATATTGAATCATAGCCAGATTGGTTGGGTTTGATGCAAATTGCAAAAATGGAGGGAAAAGGCCCACCTTGAAGGCTAAAATCAAACTGAGTATGTTTTTATGAATGTAGGTTGCTAAGTCTTTAACTGACCTGGTTAAAAGCTGTGCAAATGCATCATGGATAACCTATTGTTCCTCAATTCTGCTTGGCTACTAGTTCTTAAGAATCAGCTTTTTCTATTATTTGCTATCTGCTCCTTTACAAAATGAGAGGTTACACGCCAGATTGCCTATATGCTGTAATACTAAGTATTGGCATATGATCTGGAGGTTGGCCAGAAAGATATAAGGACTACTGCCACATTATTAAGAATCTTCCAACATCTCAAACTGATGCCCAACTCAGCTCAGTTCACATTTCAAATTAGTTCTCAGGACAACAGAAACAAAACAAATGGGATTACCTGTACAAAGAAAATATCTAATTGAAATAGGTTAGTATTGCTCTATTAGCTGCTGGGCCATCTGCAAATGCAGCTTGAAATGCTGTTACCAGTTGCCTTTGGAGGAATGGAAAACAAAAGAAGAGCCATGGTGTTCAAAGGAATCCTGCTGCATCCATTGTTGGAATGGAGGATAGAAATGCTGACAAATGTGCTTATTACCAGCCATATTGGCATTCGCCTGCATGAATGTCAACTTCTTCACTCACCAGTTGCATCAGTAAGGATAACGTCAATCACAATTGTTGGCTGATTCTTACTTTGATCCCTCCCTATCAAGGTTTTTTTTTCCTGACTACCTGATTTAACATTAAGATCTTGGAAAGCCTCTTCCAGATTCTTGGATAGGTAAAGTGGGCATTGATAATAGAGACTATCCCCACTTACGGATTTCTCTCACCTCTTCAGCACCACACTATGATAGTTTTAACTTCTCTGAGATCAGTTTTATTTTAATGGTAAACTGTTTGGGTTTCTTTTAAATGGGAAGCAAGACACGAATGTTTTAAATAAATAAACATTATTTTGCCCGGTTTGTTGATTTCAGAGCAGAAGTCACTAAATCTCCAAAAAGAAAATATGAGAAATGTATGTTGCTCTTAGTTTCAAGAAATATTTGAGAACATTGTGTGTAAATGGAGTTTGCTGTTTCCAACCTGCCATAACACATATGCTTCTGATTCCATGATTAAAAAATAATAATCTTGCTTTACTTGATATTTCTGTAAGAACTGATCAGACAGCCTGCTTGTTATCCATTCAGTCTGGAGAATAGAGACAGTTGGGAAATCACTGAAATTTTGACTGTGATAACATGCATTCAGCATTGTATTGAATTAATGGTGGGAACTTCAGGCTTCCTATAACTCTAGAAAACCTGCACCTCAACAGTTAGTTTTTAAAGGTACAATAAATAGCTTGTCACCTTTCTAATCTGAGATAATCCTGATGTTTTAGATTACAGTTCCCAGCTATCATGAGCATGATGGTTTTGGATTAGAGTTTAACCCAGTGGTTTAGAAAGCATCAGGTAGAAGGAGGATAATATCAGTGTTTAAGTAGAAAGTGGTGTCTTGAGAAATTTAAGAATGTTATGTTAATTCTTAAGGCCAAAGATTACTTTTGGATCTGTGTTTCATCACACCTCAGTTTTCTGGTTCTTCCTTCTCCTCCTATTAGTGGAATTTCTCTTGGTTTACTCTTTACAAAGGGTG